GAATATAGATACGTGACACGAGCACAATACGATATGGATACAATGACATGACAAAATTAAAAAAAATAGGATACAGATGCGATCAGGATACGTTTATAATAAAATATATTTTATATTTTACTATTATTTAACAACTTAGAAATTATAATTTTTCAATAATTCTTTAACGTTAATAAATAAAATTAGGAATTTTTACAATGAAAAAGATGTAATATTGTCTCATCATGATATGTTCATAAAATGAGCATGACCAATTGAAGGAATTATAACCACATTTAACTAGTCGGTTTGTTTGCAAGTATTTATTTTTAAAATTATAGTGTAAGTGACTCATTTTTTTCCTCTCTTGACATATAATAATAAATAATACTTAAAAAATACTCGTGTCTTCAAAATCAGATGGAATTTTGTTGATATTTTATATTGTATGTGAACTCCACAGAAGGGGGTATAACTTGAAATTAAAAATTGTATATCTTGCTCCATGTTTAAAAGTATCTGTGAAATATCTACATATTTTATTAATTATCAAATACGGATAATACATATCCGATACGTCTCATTGAGTATTGACGAGTATCATATCTGATACGGTATCTGATACGGGTACGTCGACAGACGAAATATCCGTGCTTCATAGGCTTAGAGTCTACACTTAATGAGACTTTTGCAACTTCCCCATTGCTGCATAAGATGATTACAAAGGGAATTATTGGGGCTATGTCTTCTCCAACTGTATTGTTTTTGTAATCATGGATCTCCTAGAATTAGGATTTTGTTGAAAGTATTGGCTCAAGGCTATTATTTTCTCCAGAATTATTATTTCCTGGGGTCAACTCTTTTGTTTTATACTTGGATGTAATTCTTGTTCGAAGTGATGTCTGCTTTTGAATGGAGGGCATCCTCTCTGTGTAAACTTGTTTATTAATTAATAAACAAATTTACCTTCCGAAAAAAAAAAGGCTCAACCAACCAGATGTAGATGCAGGGGTCTTTTATCTGTTAATTTATTCCTCGACATATTGGTTCAACTAACACCCCAGTGTTTCACATTTTATAGTCTAAACTTCTTTCAACAATTTGCTGAACTCACAGTTATGGTGCATTGGAATTGGCAAACTTGCAAACCAGAGATGGTAATATTATTGAAAATGAGCTACACACTCAAAAAGTTTGGTCCAAAAAGCACCTTATTCGTTCGTGTTATCCACGGCATTTCATACAAGCGAATAAAAAATTTCCCCATAGAAAATTTGGAAAGCAAAGAGTTAGAACTTAGAGCGATGGTAAATGTTCATCTACTTAGTAGATATGTTGCTAGATATAGTCCGGGAAAAAAAACCCCTAAAAAATGGGTATAACATTGTCTACAACTTGTCTCAACACCAATCATAAACGAGAGCATTGTGCAATGTGTAGAATATATCTAGACTTTCAAAAGTAAAATGCTCTAAAATTTCCTTGGCTGATGCATGATTCTCTATCACCAAGTTTTATTATATTACCAATCAACTTTCACTCTGTATATTATAGTTTGGCTTTATTTTGTGGTCCACATTTCCTTAATGCAGGTTTTCCGGATTCCCTTTCAATGGATCATAATTAATTTGCTTTATTAGACTTTTTAAAAGAGCCAGGGCTTGCAGATGTCTGTGAAACCACACTTGGAAAGACAGCTGGTTCAGAAATAGTAGAAGTCATTTTCTGCTAGTCTTAGGTGAAGATTATTTAAATGAAGGAGATTAATTTATTGCGCCTTAGGTGGGTTCCTTGGTCTTGCCACTTTACTATTGAATATTATACTTTTAATTGATAATATTAGACAGATAAAAAAAAAAAGACAAAAAATAAGGATCAAATAACCTAAAACTGATATTGTGAGGAAAAATTTAATTTTAAATGAATAAAATATGGATGAAAAGCATTATCAAGTTTTTTTTTATTCCATTTTTGGTTAGTCTATAATTACAATGCCAACTACAAATGTATCTACTCACCCGCAGATTACGCGCTATAATTATATCTAATTTTATTTGATCAAGAGCACTGATACTTATGATGTATGAGTTTAAGCCACACCATTTGATGAACAACTGAGCCAACCCGGGCAGATTGACAATATATGTTATATCCAAGTAACTAGGAATTGTGCTTATTGTCAATGACATGTGAATCCATGTGAAGAGGGTCCTCCATGTTGCTAGCCACAGGTATGGTGGGCATTAAGGGAGATCCTTCAAAGGGAGCAGTGATGACTGTACTGTTATCCAATCAAAGTTGTGTTCTGCGCCATTGTAATATAATAAGGTCTATTATTGGTGATTGTGGTAGCCTAATCAACCGCAATATCCTTTTTTTCTATGTTCCAGCAGTCTGATTTCGTGAGTTCTTACTTTTTGACAAGAAAAATCCAAAATTGATTCATAAATCAAATCCCCCTCCTTGTCTGGATGCCATTATCCACTGAGAAGGACTCCTGTGATGATACAAAAACCAGAATTGTATGCATATATTTAGACTTCTTTCAGGACAAGGATCGATGTTCCTAAATGAGAGATTTTTTTTAACTATTTAACTGCAAAAAACATGAACAAGTTCTTACCCCCAATAATATAAAAATTAACATTTTAAAACATTTACTTGTCCTCAGGAGATTATAGGCTTAAAGCAATATACTAAAGTTTCTCTATATTTTTTCTCTATATTGTGCTATAGGCGTCACTTATTTAAGTCACAGTAAGAGATACTCCACTTATCCTTCTTAGGCCTTATGGTAGCCGGATTCCTGTGCACTAAACTATTTTTTTTTTCACTTGTCTTCAAATCATCCCTTCAGAAACACAGCAGTCTATTGTGTTTCTTTATGATCCCAGTGGAGATACTTCTGCTCTTATTTGCTCAGCATTTGAACCGAAGCTATCATTGTGGCGGATAGAAGATACTTTAGGATTCCAAGAATAGGTGGTTTAGGGCTCGTTTGTTTAGCGTGAGAATGATAGAAAATGTAAAAAAGAGAAACTTTTTTACATTTTTATGTGTTTGGTTAGCATGAAAAAGAAAATGATATAAATTTTTTTTTTTTTTTTATCCTTAAATTTTTTCACAAATAATCAACTTTTTTTCTTTTTTACAAATAGAACAAGAAAGCCTTTTTTTTTCTTCTTCTTTCTTCCTGTTATTGACTGGTAACTCCATCTCCTGTAATGCCTCTTTCCTAGGGTCTTCGTTTAATCATTTACTAAGGAAAACAAGATATAATGACTATATTTTTAAAAGAAAAATCAACAAAGCTCTAATTTCCTCTAACCTTCCTCATTTGCCATAACCTCTTCTTGGTTGATATATTTTTATAACCTGCTCCCAAAATAATATATTCTTTTGTTGATTTAGTTTTCTAACCTGTGACATGAGTTTCTGTTCAAAACATTTGACTCTCCCAGTGGTAAAATTCTGGTTTCCTCCCTTTTAATTGCATTGCATGATTCAATAGAATCTTTTAGTACAGTTTACTTCTTGAAAGCATTACTATGATGAGCTTGTCTTCAATTTAGGCATGAAGTAGTATGTGTAATGACCTGCTAACTTTGTAATGGAATGGTTGGAGAAATAATGTTTATCTCTAATGATATTTTCACAACCATACCTTTTGCAGGCCTCGTCGGCTGGAGATCCTTAATAAACTCAAGGAAGATGCATGACTTTCAAAGGAAAAAAATCTGGTGAGTAACTAATTAGTCTTTGGTGGTTAAACGAATTGTACCTCCATAGATTGAGAAACCCTATTTACTAAGATTCATAAGTTCATCATAGGGCACCTGCCGCACATATCACCCACAAAAATGTGAAAAAATTGAGTTGTCTTGGGACTGAAAAATATGTACCAGAATATATGTTGTGTTGTGGGTTCGAGTTTTATAATCAATATCTTCAATATATAAATATTCTCCGATTACCAATGTCAAGAAATAATCATCACTTAAGTTTAATAATCTTCAGAAAAATGACCTAAAACTGTTCGGAAACGAAAAATGAAGTACTAGAGGCATAACATCTTGAAGAAGAAGAAAAGTTCGTACGAAGAGGAATATATCCATTTATCATCCTTGAAGAAGAAGAAGAAGAAGCCACGGCAGCACCATGGGAATGAAGATGGCAGAAATGAAGTTGAAGAGTATTAGATTAGGGTTTACACAAAAAAATGGCGTGTACTATGAACAATGCATAAGGAAAACAATTATGCAACTAGACACAAGGAAAAAACTTTTTTTTGTTTTGTTTCCTCAAATTTTTTGGGGGATAAGTGCAAGGAAAAAATCTTCCAAAGTTGGTTCTCATAGTTCTTAGAATAACTTTTTCAATTTTCACTTACCCAAAAAAAACATTTTTTTTCCCAAGAACCAAGAGGACTGAATCATGTATTTTATGAAAACTAAATAAATACAAGAACCACATAAAAACTTAACGAGAATTAATCTAGAAAGGCAGTTTATGCTCAAAATAAATAGAAAAATATAAGAATAAAATTTAAATTTTTTATTAAGATGCCAGTAAGGAGGAACATATAGGAATAAGATACAAACCTTGTTATGTTTTAAATCTTTGGGGCCGAGTAGAAGATGCAAAAAAACTATGTTTTCTTTTCTTTGAATTATTATTTTTGAAGAACACCCATGATCCAAAATCATCCATACACATCCCAAAATACTGAAATATAAAAATCCATAGCAATTAAATTTGCAAAGGTTGATGTCTTACCTTCGAAGCCAATTTCGATTAGTCCTTCTAATCCAACACCTCCTTTATCAATCAGAAGCCAAATATTAACGATGATGAAGAAGAAGAAAAAGAAGAAACAGGTAAGTGGAACCATACTCAGAAAAATATACAGTATAAACCTTGAATCTCATCTTTCTCTCTCCCCATTGCCTTCTTCAGTTACAACATTTATGGAAAATATATAGTTTACCTGTACTCTCTCTTTCTCATCTATTTTATTATCACTAGAAAGGTGGGCGGCCATGAGCCCAAGCAAAAGCTTCATGGTTGAGCTGCCCACCATTGGGAAGCAAATGTGGTGGCAAATTATAAACTGGCAGTGACGATGGGTCACCCATCACCCCCTGCTGCTGCCCTCCTCCTCCGCCAATCGTCGGAGGTGATCCACCTCCGCCAAGCTGTCCCTGAGCAGCGCTACCCACTTCCTCCTCCTCCTCCAGAGGCAGCCTCTCATACGTAGCATTAGAAAAAGTAGCTGCAATCACCATAACTGGTCCTGCAGCTACCAGTGGCCCCACCACACTCCCACCCACCACCTGTCCCTGACCTCCGGCGAGATATATAGTCAGTCCAGTCGACCCCGGAGGCGCAGGTCCTGGGAGGAAAGCTCCGGTGAGAGAGACGATCTCGAACCGGCCATGAAGGGCCATGACTGCACCAGGTGAAGAAGATTGTCTGAGAGTCACGTTTGTTACTGTACCGCTTGCACTGAGAACACAAACCCCTCTTTGTCTTCTTCTCGCGAACTGGCCTATGCTCTCAGCTATATCGGAGCCGTTCGCCACCTCCATGACATGGCTGCGGAGGGCGTTGGGGCTGTCACGGGTCACAAAAATAGGTGGTTTTGGTTTGTTTTTCGAACCCGGTGGTCGGCCTCTAGGTCGCCGTGCTCCCACCTCAATTGCTCCTTCTTTAGGCTCGTCACTGTTTTCTCTCTCCTCTTCTTCGTCCCCACCACCACCGCCGCTTCCGCTGCCGCTTCCATTGTTTTCGTTCATGGATATGCCCAGATCTGGCTTCTTCATCGGCGAGCCGGCCGATGATACTTCTAGTCCTGACAGACCCACTTGCCCAGTCCACCAGCGGTTCGCCATGTTTTCAGATCAGAGAGATATAGTTGGAGAACCCAGATGGTCAACAAGATGTTTTACCCAAGATCTTTGATTGAATTGGCTACTACCTCTCTTTCTCTCTCTCTCTCTCCTTTCTTGTACTGATTTTCCTATATTACAGATGAAGACAGAAAGAGAGAAGCAGTGATTTTGTGTACTGACAAAGATGAATCAGTAATTGATCGATGAACCCAAGAACAGCCAAGTTTAATGTCAACCCTAATTGGTAGAACAAATCTGAAGGATATGTGTTTAGAGCTATGAAAGGGAGAGGTTTGACTGTGTGAAGAGCATAAAGAGGGTAGATGATGATAAACAAGAAAACAGCTAAGCTTGGAGAGAGTCACTTGCTGAATTTCTTGGTTTTTTATTGGGTTGGTTCTTAGGTTTTGGTGGTGGAGTGCGTCTGTCAATGTTCATGGGTAGCTCTCTTTTTGTATTATTTTCCTCTTTCTCTCTCTCAGCATTGAGAAATGAGAGAAAAGGGTCTTGGAAATTAGGGTTTGTATGTGGGGTCGCGTGCGCATGTGAAAGTGGGGGGCACGTATTTTTCACGCTCTCCGACAAATTTTAGCATCTACACTACTAAAAAGAAACCAATATCAAACGAATTAGTAGCAAAAGTGGGCTCCCAAATGCTACTGCCATTACATTCCTCTCACCCATCAGCCTCATTTCTTTCTACGTATTGAAAAAGGAAAAATGCTACGAACCCCTGCAGTATTGTCGAAATTTAATGAGACAAAAAATCAATCAAGTAAAGAATACGTAGATTTACAGTAGACTTCTTATTTTTGGGCTATCGGAGCAGTTTGTTTTTCACTGTGTTAAAATTTCTATAGGGATTTTAAATAATACGTATTGAATTATATATAATGCATAAGGCAGAGAGACATTGAATGGGGGCAACAGTTAAAATTTTAAATGTTCACAAAAATATAGTTTTAATAGTAAAACATCAATTAAGGGCGTAATCTATATATATGAGCGATATATACAAAGAGCCAACAAGAAAAACTTACTGTACATTTATCTATAAGAACTAACAAAAATATTTTGAATCAAAAAATTGGACTCAATCATATATTGAGTCTATACATGGGAGAATCCAAATTGTAGAGTATCTTATAAATATTCACAGTTATCCCCGACAAGTTTTTATATTTTGAAAATGTTGTATGATAATTTATTATCAATAGTACTTAACATTTCTTTCTCGACATATGTAACCCAATAATCGTTCATCCATTGGTCTCTCATTAGATTGCACAATTAATTTTTAAAAAATTAATTTGATCAGTCATAAACTTCGTATTCAAGAGTGAATTTTAACAAATAATAGAAAATAACTTAAATTTAGACTATTCTATTAAACTAAACCTAGATATAATAATTACTTAGGGACTGTTTGATAACACCACTTAAAGCTTAAAACTGAATACTATAAACACACTTAATAAATTAAACTCTTTTGATAACTTAAAACTCATACTACTACTTAATATTTTAAACATTTCTTAAAAGTAAACTAAAATTTTAAATTACAAGCCACCTACTTATTACTTAATGCTAAAAATGTTAGTAAGTAAATATTTTATCAATTTCTCATAATGGACAAATATACCTTCACTACCATTATGTCATTGCCACCACTAGCAACACTATCACCACCACTACAACCACCACCACCACCATCACCATTGTGTTACTGCCACTACCACCTTACTATTGTCGCCACCACCATAATCACTACCACAACCATTGTCACCACCACCATCACTACCACCATCGTCACATCATTGTGTCGTCGCCACCACTACTACCATTATGTCACTGTCACTACCACCATTGTGCCACCGCTACAACCACCACCACCACCACCACCATTACTATTATGCCATCGCCACCACCATTGCCAATGTCATTACCACCACCACTATCACCATGATCACCACCGCCGTCACTATCATTGTGTCGCTACCAACACCTCCATCACCATCACCACCATCATCTCTGTCGCCACCATTACCATTGTGACACCATCACCACCATCGCCACCATTATCGCCGCCACCACCACCACCACCACCACCACCACTGCTATTGTGCCATTGTCACCACCATTGCCATTGTGATGACCACCACTACCATTGTGTTGACCACCACTACCATTGTGTCGCCGCTACAACCACTATAGTGTTGCTGCCGTCACCACCACACCATTATCGCCACCACCACTATCATCATTATTGTGATGGAGGTGATAAGAATAAGACAGTTATAAAGAGATGGTTAAAGGGAACGACAAAAATTAGAATAATAATAATTTTTACATTTCAACTCCTTATATTTATCAAATAGTTAAATTAAATTCAATGCTTGAATTTTAGTTGATACCAAATAGTTTGTTAATTAAAAAATTCAGCATTCAGCACTTAAAATTCAACATTCAATTTTTAATGTTTAACTTTCAGTTTTATCAATCACCATCTTAGTTTATCACAATAAAATTATTCAAACCATTAAATTTAAACAATTTAATCTAATACATAATGGAGGACTATACGCCTCGATTCCAATTCAAGGTACAAGAATAAAACAAAAGTGAGGACTACAAGCCCCAATTTCATAGAAGAGGATTATAAGCTCCAATTATATTTCAACATAGAAAAATAATTATAAACTACAAGCTCAATTTCAATTCAATACACAAAACAATAAAACACAGAGAGAACTACAAGCCTCGTAAATGTTTTAAAACTTTTTAGTGGGGTAAAATGTCTAATAAATTCTAAAAATTTTGAAATTATACTTACACCCCAAAAGTTTTTAAAATTCAAGTGGTGGCAGCTACCCCACCGTGGATCTACCACTGAATTAGAGTGCCCAACCAGTAACTTCTGAGTTAAGTGAATATGAATCACATGTTATTCTTAATAAGAAATTTATAAAATTGATCTCGTGTTCATCCAATCCCATAATGTTTTTTTTTTTTTTTCATTATTCAACTCAAATTTTCCTTTCTTCTTCTTTTGAGTTGAATATTTATTTTGAACATGTATTGTGATAATTTATGTGATTACAATCAGCATATAGTGGCGTAAATAGCTTGCTATGCTAAAGATATCAAATACAACTACTTGATAATTTCTTTTACCATGAGAAAGCCCTACATAAAAAAGGTTAATCAGTGTACTCAAGAGAGAAAAGGGAAAAAACTTGAAAGTGAATGGAAAAAGTAGACGACAAAATGTTTGAGAAAATTATGAAGGCCTATGACACCATTGATTGGGGTTTCTTGATAGATGCTTTGGAGTCTTTTGGGTTTCCTGAGCAAACGAGAAGATGGATATATCTATCTGTTTCAACACTCTTAGTTTCTCTGTCCGCATCAATGGTGAACTGGCTGGATTCTTTTAAAGCTCCAGAGGTTGAGACAAGAAGGTCCCTTTCTCATTATCTTTCTGTCATGGCCATGGAGGTTCTCAATATTATTATTGCACAATAGATTAGGGCTAATCTCTCCTTTAAGTATCATTGGAGATGCAACAAACTCAAGCTAACTCGTCTAATTCTTTACTGATAATATTGTATAGCTCAGTCATGGCGATAGTAATTCAGTTGGCATATTGAAGAATGAACTTGACAAGGTTCAGCAACTATCTAGCCTACGGGCCAAACTTTCAAAAAGTAACTTAATCATGGCTGCAATGCATGATGATGCTTCTGCTCAAATCATTGGTATTTTGGGATTCTTCATGGGTAATCTCCCCATAAAATACCTTGTAGTGCCTTTTGGTGACCAACACTAAGATACTCTACATTGTAACCCATTACTTGAGAGATTTGAAGATAGATCCAGTGTTTGTTATATAAACCCAATTTTTGTGTAGTTTTCGTATTTTAACTTTTGGGTTTATTTTGTAATAGTCAAAAGTTATGTCTTTAGTTGCAATTAGGTTATTTTAGTATTTTTTGATTAGTGTCGATAGGGGCAGCCACTAGCAATTGTTTGCTGCCTTGAGAAGTCTTGAAGGGGCAGTTCTTGGATAGTCCGTTGGTGACAAGAAACAGCCAGTTGAGTCGGTTGCTATTTGCGGCATCGAATGAAGGACTTTTCTGCCCGAAGAAGGAAACTGAAATTCTGCCCACTGAAGTTGGTTTTCTGTAGCAAAACAGAGTATAAAAAGCATTGACAGCAGCTAAAAAATTAGAGTGAGTTTCTGCATAAAACAGAGAGGAAAAACAAAGAAAAGGTTGTTGCTTGTAATGCTCCTAAATCCATCGCGGAAAGAATTAACTATCTATACCACATCCAACCATAAGAGTACACTAAAGTACTATTAAACAAACAAAATTATTCATAATCCAATATCTAGTTAGATAAATCCCTAAAAGAAATATAAATAAATTCTTAACATAAGTAAATTGTTAAATCTAAATTTTATAGATTAATAATTGATGGTCCTCGAAAATATTGGCCCAAGTCCAGAACCGGGGCCTGCGCCTAAGGACTAAGGCTAAGTCCCCCTGTAAGGGAGTCTTTTACTCCTGGGGGTTGTATGTTGCACAGGATGATTTCCGGCAATTAATTGATATAGCAATCTCTCCATGATGGACTTGAAACAATCAAAAGGGTTAGGAAAGGGGGTCGAGTGAACACCCGGCTTACTCTCTCTGAAGCTTAAGTCAGTAGGCGTTGGAGGCTTTAGTACAATATTTTTGTACTCAGTTTAGTTTTGCGTGTGCACATACCTTTGTTCATTTTTTTGATGAGTATTTATATCTGCACTAGCAACGAGTGCAAGGGTTTGGAGTCTCATTTCAACATATAATGACTTGCATGCTTATTCATGCATAATGAATGCTCTCCGCTCAAATCCTCATGATTGGCTCACTTGGGCTACAAGACGACTGCTTGGGGCATGCTGAGCACTCATGACTCTATTCCCGGTCATTTAAGTCTATTTGATAGGCGCTTGA